CGTCGACATATCACCACGGACGTCGTTCATGCTGTGGAATATTAGGGGCGATGGCTCGATTGACGTCTTTCGCAGCATGCGGTTTGAGGCATCATAATATAGAAATGCATCCCGAAGCCGGCAGTGCCTATGTTATTGTAGCCAGATGTAATCAGAAAGCTTTTTCCGGTCGCAACTCCGGCCTCAGAACGGGAATCCACGCTTTGGGGCGCACTCAGGATTCACACTTGCAAACCTGTGTGTCTCTGGCTCGCGCCCTACTGTAATATTCTCAGCAGGATTTGGCACCATAAAACTAGCATTCGCAGCGTCGAGACATGCGCGGGTTTGCGCCATCGAAGTCGTAGCTCAAAGCCCGCAGGACCGTGACGGCAACGGCATGTCAAGGAGGCTAGGCCCAGATCGGAGAGAAAATCTTCGTAAAGCTTAATGGTTTGCTCTTCGAAGGTCATCCCATCGATGAAGAGTTTCATTGGGGATGCGTCGTCAATGACCCAATGGCCTTTCCGCACTGCTGACTGAACCTTGGCATGTTTGCCATCATCGATAGTACCCACGAGTCGTCCAGCCTCGCGCCAGTCGTCCCCGACACTAGCTGGTCGATCCTCAAAGGTGCAGCTGCCTATAAAAGCACTTCTTGTCGCAGGCCTGGAGAAAAAGTCTGATTCTAGGACGGCCTAATTACTCTGAAAAGTCCAGTCCCACTCTTCCCGTAGATGTAATTCAGGTGCATGTCCAGGCCACCAACCTGGGTGTGCGTTTGACTTCTTGAGTATGGCTCTAGTTAAAGCATCGCGCCCGCCCCTTCTCAACTTGGCGCTTTATTGTTCTCACGTGTCTGGACTCAGCATTGTTACGGTCGGCGCGATAATCAGCACACCAGCCACTCCAAGCGTTTGAATCGCCACTGCGCCTGGCATCGAGGCCAAAGATGGCTTGCACAGCCCAGCGTTTGAGTGCCCCTACCGCATCAATGCTGAAAACATCACCACCTTTCTTTCCAACCTACCACCGAGGACGGGCATCTTTTTTATAGTCGCAAACTACCCCAGATCAAAATGAGTTCATCAAGGCTGTGATAGCACTGAGGAAGACCTCCACAAATGCACGCGCGAAAACCTTTTCTGGCACCTTCATGCGCACGCCACAAAGGATTATGGCAGTGCATCCGCATCGGTTACCCACCGATGATTCTGACTCCTTCGGCACCTCGCCCCGGACACAGAATGCGGAATGGGACTTCCGACATAGCTTGGGGGAGACCTCCTGACATGAGCACACCTCACGCTGCCACGCCTGACGCTGGACGCGGACCAACAGGCTCTTTGCGAAAGACTTTGCCTCCGTGTACCCGAGCGCATATCCAGATCCCATGTGCAGCTCCCACCCACCGGATGCGAAAATCGTAGAAGTGTTGCGGACATCTTCACGATTGAACCCGGGGCGAGCATCTCTCCCGAAAGAAACTTTCGGCATAGCTGTGAGCTAGAAAGATATCTTCGTCGTATGAAGCCCGAGTGCAGTGCTGAGTATGGCAGCCGCGTAGCCTCCGCGTCACGGGCAACGCGAGTTGCCCATCTTACTTGAGTACGTTCACCCTAGAGCGGCGTCCTCGGGTGCCCTTCACGTCGCGCATCATCGATGGAGAGGTGCATTTTTGGTGAAGGGAGCGGCGTCCTCGGCTGCGAAGGCGGGGTTTCCGTCCTCTGGAGGGACGGTCTGATGGCCGCCACATAAGGTCGATAGTCACCATCTGGACAGGGGACAACGTCTACATTCCGCTCCTTGGGCTATGCTACCCCAACTCGGGACTATGCTAGGGAGAAATACCCCAAACTAGGGTACTAAGGAACGTTGAGGTCACGCAGAGCAGTGACAATTTCGCCGATTCGGGTGTTCCTCAGCCCCAGGAAGCCGTCGCACATCCCCCACGACGCCGCGGATCAAGTGCCGCGTCCGCTGGGCGCCACCTTGTGCACCTTTGCCGACGGGCAGCATTCGGCCGCGTTCCCCGCCAGCGCGATCGAGCCACAGGTTCGTCCGATGCGGCTCTCTGGAACCACCCGCGGTGTTTCCCCGTCGAGGCCAACCCCTGAGCCGGCCCCGAAGCACCGCATCGTGCCGGGGGACTTCCATCGTGCACCCACAGGGAGCGTCGAAGAATTCCGGGACCGAAAATGGGCTGCCCCGGCCCACCGCGTTCTCGAGAACGAGGGCGTGCAAGCCCACTGCGCTGCTCGGCGTTCGGACGGGGTCACGTGCGGACGCGCCGCGCCAATCCGCGCCCAAATCGACTCGACATTGGGCTGAGTACGAGGCCGAGAAGCAAAGCTTCGGCGTCCATGCTCTCCCGAGTGCCGTCCCAATGGGGGGTCTTGCTCCGGCGACGGCGCCCGATGGCCGACGCGTCGGACGCCCGAACCTGCCGTTTTTTGCTAGCGCCCAGGGACGCCGGGTGGCTATACGTGACAAAAACAAGCGCTCGGATTGGGACGAATGGCTAGCCGTTTCGCTGGCTTGAGTACCAGACACGTACGCGCGGGCCGGGAACGGAGACCTCTGAGGCCACTGGCAAGGTTCCGACGCACGGCAGCCCGTTCTGGTGGTCGGAGTGGCCTTCCATGACCCCTAGGCGTAAGCCTGACCGTCGGTGCCCCCATTGGAGGTGGTTCTGGCGTCGACCAAATTCCACCGCGCGGGCCTCGTCTCCGCGGGGCTGCCGCGGCGTACAAGTTCGTGCCAGCGAAGCGCGTCACAGTCGATGGCGTTGGATACGCCCCTTGGTTTTGGGCGCGACGTGGGTGTGACGGCTGGGGTAGGCCATTTACGTCGGGTAAGATGTACCACCCCGCTCCGCACGCAGGGGTGCCGCCGACGCCACCGGCGGAGCAACACCCCCCCTTCGTCCCAAGCTCCTCAGATTCCCAAATTCTTCCCAAGCTACTAGTAGACTCGCTGTACCGCCGGCGCGTGGTAGCAATTGCCACCTTGATCCGGGCGAGCATAGCAAAATTGTATAGCCAATTCGTCGGTAGACCAGGCAGCGATGGAAGCACAGACTAACGCAAAAACGGAAGAAATCGAGGAGAAGAAAGATGATGACAAAGACCTTTCGTGAGCCCTCGTATACGCAGCTTCGTGACACGACAGCCCCAACCTAGGCCTGAGGATCAGATGCTCCTCGAAGGGCTCGAGCTTGCGGTCGAACGTCTTCAGGATGCGCTTTGCAGCGTCTTCCACCTGGTGAATTAATTTAAAATCGTCCCGCCTTATAGTCGGACCCAACTATCGCCAGTGCTGCGTTGAAACACTTGGTCAAGGAAGTGCGGAGTGCGACATCTTCCATGACTTCAGTGCCCAAACCACTTAAATTCCTACGGCCTCACTACGAGACGCTGAAGCACTGTCACTCGACTGGAGATAAGACGTCATCCACCCACAAGCTACTGGCAGATCTATTGGCTGTATTGGCAATGACTATGTCAAAGAGGGGCTCCCGAGAGATACTTCTATTTAAGAAACAGGGCTCAATGCAGGATCTTGGTAGCTGGGGCCACGAATTTGTGCGATCACTTGCCGGAGAGATCGGCGCAGAGTATTCGGCACGCCACCTTGCCGATAAGGTAGGAAACGCTGAGATCGATACACATGATCTTGCAGCACTCGTTGATGAGATTGTTCCGCAATGCCACAGCGCCATGGTCCTCTTTACTGAAATTGTATTGTGCGTCAACTGTTGCTCTCAGGTTCCATCTCCGTCACAATGCGTATGCAGAGGCGGTGGATCTACTAATCGAGACACAGCGGCTCCCTAAGTTACTTGACGACTATCCTTTGGAACCTGGGAAGGCTCTAGTGGATCAGAGCAACTTCCAACGGGTCTGTCTTTACCTTTTACGATGTGGCACATTTATGGCAGATCCAGATGATTTAAAAGAACTACGTCAGTGTGCATTCTGCCTTTACGAGCGACAGGGTGAGTTTTCAGCGGCGCTGGGTGTCGCGCTTCAGATGGGAGACAGCGATGAAAATACCCCGTTTTCGGCCCGCTGTCAGATACTTTTCGATGCGGCTGATAATTTGACGCGCAAGCAAATGGGCTTCTTGCTTGCACGGCATCGAAGCAATTTCGAGTTTGCTGATGACTATGATGTTGATGCAATCATTGGAAACAATCGGCTCCACGGATACTATGTCTCATCCAGAGTCTAGGAAAGTAGGAATTCTTATGCTCACCTTGATTGCGCTGCTCTTGGCTTTGATAGGTGGACTTGGGGCGGGATCTGGACGTATTGGATCCGAAGACACCAGAGGATATCTACAAGAGCCATCTTGGAGACTCGGCATTCTCACGCGGCCCAAGTACGAGCGCACCACACGTGGATTCTGCACGAGCAAATCTCGCATCAACTTTTGTCAACGCGTTTGTAAACGCTGGATTCGGCAACGACCTGCTCATGACGCCCGAGGGTAACGCATGGCTCTATAAAAACAAAGAGCATGGCATGCTATCTGCGGCAGCTTCACTAGGCATGATTATGATGTGGAATGTTGAGGAAGGTCTGACAATGATCGATAAGTTTCTCTACAGTAGCGAGGACAATGTCAAAGCAGGCGCATGCCTCGCCATTGGGATAGTATCCTCTTCCGTGCGTCACGAATCAGATCCGCCTATTGCCTTGCTGCCTGAGCACCTCGAGTCGCCCTCCGCTACCATACGGAGAGCAGCAATCGTCGCACTAGGCCTTGCATACGCAGGTGCGGCACGCGAGGATGTACTTGAGACGCTCGCTCCTGTCCTCTCTGGTTCTGAGATTTTCGTCGAAGCTGCTTTTGCTGCACTTAGTCTAGGTCAAATTTACATCGGTACCTGTGACTCGGAGGTGGTGTCCCTCGTTATCCAGAAATTTATGGAAACCCCTGATGCCAACCTCGATGCCCCCGAGGCCAAGTTCCTCGGCCTCGGCCTCTCCCTTCTATTTTTCGGTCGTGGCGAGAAAGGCGACGCTATGCTCGAGGCCCTCAAGACCATCAGTCATTCCCTAGGAACCTATGCGTCCGTCATGCTCGAAACATGTGCGTATGCTGGCACAGGGAATGTCCTCAAGATCCAAAAAATGCTCCACATCTGTGCCGAACATCATAGCGAATCGCCCAGCGTTACTTCTGAAGTTTCCCTGAACCACCGTGCTAACTCAAGCATGCGCACACCCGATGCTTCCCACACTTTACCGAAGACGCGGGATCTTGCCGGAGCACACCAGTCAGTGGCCGTCATTGGCATTGCCCTTGTCACAGCAGGAGAGGAAGTTGGCGCGGAGATGGCGCTTCGTACCTTTGATCACCTTCTTCACTACGGGGAGCCCACCGTCCGATGTGCTGTTCCGCTTGCCCTCGCACTGCTTCGTATCTCCTGCCCCGACTATGGCATCGTGGACCAAATGAGTCGGCTTACACATGATGCGGATACTCAGGTCTCACTGTGCGCAATTCTCGGTCTTGGGCTGCTCGGTGCTGGCACAAACAATAGTCGCATCGCCGGCCTTCTGCGGCAGCTTGCCGAGCACGCGCGCGAGCCCTCTATGCTCTTTGTCGTGCGCCTCGCACAAGGCCTGCTTCACATGGGCAAGGGTCTACTTACCATATCTCCGTTTCACGCGGACCGAACTCTCATCTCGAAGTCTGCAATGGGTGCTATTCTAATCTTCCTCCACTGCTGCCTAGACATGAAACGAACAATTCTGGACAAGACCCACTATCTTATGCCTGTTTCCAGTGTCTAGGGATGCTATGCGTGGAGGTTCATATCTCTAATTCTTTATTCATCGGCGCAGGTACCATCTCGCCTCAGCGATGATGCCAAGGTTCCTTTTCACAGTAGACGCCAGTCTCAACCTTCTGCCGACATCAGTTCGCGTTGGCCAGGCAGTGGAAACTGTCGGCCAGGCCGGCCGTCCCAAAACCATCACGGGGTTTCAAACTCATACCACTCCCGTGCTCATTGGCGTAAATGACCGCGCTGAGCTCGCCTCTGAAGAGCACCTAGCGAAATCCAACATTCTTGAAGGAATTGTCATTTTAGTCCCGTCCGAGGAGGAGAAATGAGCACTTTCTTGGTAACTGGTCGCTAAAAAAAATGTTCCTGCAGGGTTACAGTGCGCTAGGGACCACTGGTTACCGTGCCCAGGTTGTGATCGTTGCGAAGTTGGCGCCTGCATGGCCCAACAGGCAGGTATCATGGTTCCAATACTGCCCCCAAACGCAGGAAATTCGACGAGCTATGTTTGGGCGCCTCCTGGGCCCGGCACCCGACTAAAGGCCCTAGCCGCCGGCGCAGTGCCCCCGGGGTCGTGGCGCTGGGTCGTGGATACCCTTGGGTCAGCGCCTTGGGTAGCGGCCTTGGGTCCCGTTCGTTGCAAAGGGGGGGGGG